ATCATACTGACATTATTGTTTCGGATTTTTCCTGCTGGTCTCTCTTCACGAAGTATCTTCTGTTCTCCAGGCTGGTCTACTCGTCCTTTACAGAGGAAATTTCCCACCTCAGACAATTCTGGATGGGGTTCTGGTTTCCACCTATGGTTTTTATGCAATGCAAAAGCTCCACAGGAGGTCTCTTTCACTGGGCAACTTCTAGCCCCCTTTAAGGTATTCCAATCAGTTATAGGCTGAAGGCAGACTTACAACCTTTCTATTGTGATATTTCTGGCTATTCCTCCCCCCCCCGCACCCCCTCAAGTGTCTATTTCACAATGGTAGGCAAGGAAAACCAAGATTCAAAAGACAGCTAAGCATCTTAACATTATTGCCCTCTTTTACCCATTCAAACCATATCTCAATCCTTGTATCCTGAAGTCCTGCTGTTCCAAGGTTGTACATACATCATCATTTAACTCTGTCCCACTTAGCCCATGCAAACCTGCCTAACTGTTCACCCATCAGTCTTGTTCTAACATTCCCCTCCCCCTTCTTGTGTATTGCCCGCCTCTCCCCCAGCACCCAAGCTTTCCTGTGTCTATTCCTTACCCTGTGCTCTAAATTTCCCTCCCTCCCCTCCTCTTATCCCATACATCCTAGTGATCAGCAATTATATATATAATTTTTTTTCCCCTTTTGGGTGGGTTCTTTTTCTTAGTCTTTTACAATAATGGTCTTATGCAGTATTTCTCCTTTTCTGACTGACCAGTTTCACTCAGCATAATGTCCTCAAGATCCATCCATATTATGCAGTGGCTTGCAGCTTCCTTGTTTTTCTTCAAAGTAACATAGTATTCCATTGTGTGTATGTACCACAGTTTGTTTATCCATTCTTCAATTGATGGGCGTTTAGGCTGTCTCCATCTTTTTGCTATTGTAAATAGTGCTGCTGTGAACATTGATGTGCATATATCTACTTGTGTTATGGCTCATATTTCTTGTGGGTAAATACCAAGTAGAGGAATTTCTGGATCATAAGGTATTTCTATTTCCAACCTTCTGAAGAAGGTTGCTTTCCAGAGTGGTTG